TTTTTGTAGAAGGAAAGAAGAGGGTAATTTGGTTCTTTCAATTTTATCACTATGCTTTTGCCAATTACCACATGCCAAATACCAGATTTGCATGGTTATACTGAACGAGATATTTTAATTCAATTACTACTTAATTAATACTAAAATATCAAATAAACAATTAACGGTGTCTTTTGGTTGCAAATATTGATATCACCATTACTATTAGCTATAATACTTTACCAATTATGATTAATTACATAACAAGTTTACAAGTCATACAAATTGATTTAAAATTTTGACTAGTTTTTTTGAAAAAATAAAGTATATATATACGAGGTAGAAATAAATTGGTTAAAAAGTTGAGAAAATATTTTAAATTAGTGTAATAAAATGTGTAAGTTGGTAATGAGTTAAGTTATTTGATGCGCTGGCCCGAATAACCCGAAACCCGAACAATTCCATTTTCCATATTCGAACTTTGCTTAATATTTATTAATGTTGTTATCTAGTTTCACGTTCCATCACGAGAAGTCCACAATGGAGGTTATTGGGGGGAAATGGAAATGGACTCGCGCCTTCTTTTCATTTATGAAAAGATGCAATGTAACAAATTCAGAATAGTTCATCACCAATCCCAAGCTAATTTCATCCACGTCACCAATCCTCGTCCAAACAAAACTCTTATCATTGTCATCGATTGAACATCATCTACGGTGGGGACTACTTCTCACTTTGTGGCCCGGATCGGTTATCACAATAGATACCAATTGAATTTTTTCCAACCCATAAATATTTACGAGAAGCTTTCCTTGATTTTGTTAACAACCATTACTATCATTTTAATTAACTCACAATAGTAAAATTTAAAATTTTGTTAAGTTAATCTAAATTATATATCCTCACGTCACGTGAAAGATGGAAATATCTAGAGGAGGAAGTGCATATTTACATTTGTTTGGATTGATCTATATTGTCATCCAATTTTCGTTTGGGGTAATCTATATTGCTCCCTAAAAATGTTGAGATAGAAAAAAGTGTTTTTCTTCTTTGCTTTTAGAGTGTTATTTTATTTATTGAATATATGGTTTGTTAATAATGTCTATTGGTTGCAAATGTTGATATCTCCATTGCTATTAGCTAGTTTACTTTACCAATTACGATTAATTACCAATTCATTAGTTCACATTTCACAACAGCCATAAACCAATTAATTACTTCACAGCAACAACAACAAGTTGAAGACAACAGAGGCAAGCACTGAAGATGTTTCGAAACATGGCAGAGAAGGTATATGGTATGTGGTTAGTGTATAATGTATTGATGGTTTAGGGTATTCAATCAACAACATATACTAACTTAATATTATCGATTGAGGATAAGGCTAACTGTATAAGATATATGTTATTCAGTAAGTTATGATTGAAGTCACAATAATTTTACTAAATTTGATAGTTAATCTTTAAGACAATTCAAACAATTTTACAAATAACTCGTTTGGCAATAGTTTACTAAAGTTATTTGGGCAATGAGTTATTTCAAAATAACTCCTTTTATCACTCTCCTTTTGCCAAATACCACAAACCAAATACCATATTTGCATGGTTATACTAAACAAGATACTTTATTCCAATTACTACTGAAATAATACTAAAATATCAAATAAACATTTAATGGTGTCTTTTGGTTGCAAATATTGATATCACCATTACTATTAGCTAGTGTACTTTACCAATTATGATTAATTACATAACAAGTTTGCAAGTCATACAAATTGATTTAACATTTTGACTAGCTTTTTTAAAAAAAATTAAGTATATATATACGACGTAGAAATAAATTGGTTAAAAAGTTGAGAAAAATATTTTAAATTAGTGTAATAAAATGTGTAAGTTGGTAACGAGTAATGAGTAAGTTACTCGATGCGCTGGCCCGAACAACCCGAAACCCGATCCGCCCGCAACCCGCCAGACCCAAAACCCGATGAACCCGCAACCCGATTGAACCCGAACCCGATGAACCCGCAACCCGATTAACCCACAACCCGTTTGAACCCGAACCCGATGAACCCGAACCCGATGAACCCGCAACCCGACTAACCCGCAACCCGTTTGAACCCGAACCCGATTGAACCCAGCCCGAACCCGCCCGAACCCGCCCGATTGACACCTATAGTGGTCGTGGCGGACGAGGTGCCCCTGCTATGGAGACTGCTCCATGTGGTGGAAGGCCTCCTTGTGGTGGTCGTGGTGGTGCAGGTGAGATAGCCCCTCCTGCTCGAGCTCGGGCTTGTGGTGGGCGTTCAGGAAGTCGGCCTGTTGATGCTATTGAACCATCTTCATCGAATCCCACCCCTTTCGATAATGTAACTACATCAGCATAGAATCAAACTGTTGACATGACTTCTCCTACTTCAGAGAAAGTTAAAGACGACAACTTAGACCTATAGAAATGGGTGCAGACGGAGGGTAAGGTTGATTGCTGGAAGGATTTTAAGACGGTGGTGGTTGACTCTGATGGGAAGTGCAGACATTGTCATAAATCCTCAATGGATGTGGAGTACCGGGCTATGTCTAATGTTGGTTCCGATATGGAGTGACTTTTTCATTTGTTGGGCAATCTTGGTGTCTCTATTGCTTCCCCTATGCTGCTTCATGTGGATAATACTAGTGCCATTCAGATTCCGGTTAATCCATTTGTCCATAATTGTACAAAGGATATTGAAGTTCATGTTCATTACATTTGTGATCTGGTCCGCACTGGTGTTATTCAACTGTGATGTATTCCAATTGAAGAACAGGTTGCTAATCTGTTGATGAAGTCCTTCACTATCAGCCGCCATTGGTCCTTACTAGTAAATTGATGCTTTGTGGCCCGCATCAATTTAGGAGAGGCTATTGAGAAATCTGACCCGCGTATTTGGCCCATGCAATTTATGTAGCCCATCCACGCACGCCTAGCCCATCCATGCACACACGTTCCACTCCTATTTTCTTCCTTTTCTTCCTTTACTCGAGCCCTATCTAGTGTTTATCTAATATATATATATATATATTGTATAATTGTATTCTCAAACGGTTAAGCAATCACAATAGTAGCTCTGAGAGTCTTGAGCTCTCCCGTGAACCCATGTAGTTAAAAGCATGTTTCTACGTAGTAGCGTTTTGGTGAACTTGAGCGTAAAATCGTAAGTTCTTATACTTTAAAGCGCATTTTTAACTACATTAGCTATTAAAACTGTGATTTTGCGTATAAGTGTTTTGCAGACCTAGAAACGTAATATCATAAGTTTTATAGCGCGATTTTAACTAAATTATCTTGAACTAGTCCTGAACATTCAGGGACACCACGTAAATTCGTGTCTTCATTATTCTTTATTTCAGTTTAGTATGTCTAACAGGGTGCAAGGATTATGCACCTTGCATAACTACATCAGTGTTCTTAGATTTGAGTGGGGCAAGAAAATTCCAAATCTAAGTGGTGAGAATTATTGACAATTTATTTTCTCTAATTTTCATAATTGGCTCTTATAATTTTTGTCCTAACTTATTTCAAATTTTTTTTTTTTTGCATAAATAGAACGAGTTCGTTGTGATCTATAAAATGAGATCTATTTCCAATACATTTCGTGAAAAAATATTCATACCACTCGTTACCACCTTCGTTTTTAACTCAAATTTTGAAAATTTTGCACAGAAGGAACGAAATCTTCATGATCTATTGGATCTACAAATTTATGGGGCGAAAATACATGGCCTAAATGTACAACCTTATACCACCCTGGTATATGGTGGTAACTGGTGTTAAACAATGATGAATATGGTAAATGACCGTTTGTATATTCCTACTAGGGGTGAAAATCGGTACGTTATCGGTATCCAAATACCAAATACCAAAATCCCGAATACCGAATTACACCTTAGAATCAATCCCAATCCCAATCCCAAAATAATTTCGGTATTCCAATCCATAAATATTTTGGTATCCCAATCGGTACTTCGGTATCCCAATCGGTATTATCGAATACGAAATTAATTATATTTATAATTAATATATAAATTAGATTTGATTTTTTAATATAGGACAAATAGATAAACAAAGAGTTTTGAGTTTGACTAGAGCTAGGATATAAATAAGGAAAATCGAGTAGAGGTGACATCTCAAGTTTTTGTCATTGATAATCTTTAATTTGACGAATTGGAGACTGAGAGAAGACTAATACTAGTGTTTGATTTTTGATGTTATGAAAATAACAATAGATTGGTGGATGAGTGTAGTGTAGTAGGAAATGAGAGAGTCTAGTTGAGAGGATAAACTACACACTAGCTTATATTTCGGTATTGTTCGGTATTTCGGTATATACCGATCACAATCCCTAATACCGAATAACAATTAAAATTGAATCCCAATCCCAAGAAATAATACGTGTATTCGGTAATAGCAAATATAGACAAATTCGGTACGGTATTCGGTATATCCCAAATATCGGTACCAAACTTCGAGCCCTAATTCCTACTATCATATATTCAACCATTCTACACTATGGTATGTTCATACCATCATGATACACTTCCATACCACGTGGTATCATCTTGTGTAATTCTGAGCATTGCTACCATGTAGACTGATACATAAATTACATGGTTATCGGGGAACAAATCCGTAACGGTCTCATTCCATTCCATCGGATCTGACGACAATATAATCAAGTAATGAAAAAGGCATATAAAACACTTTGGAATCTCAACTTCCAAAGTCACCATGACAGAAACATCTTATCTGCATATAATTATCATAGAAAAAAAAACACGCTATAAAAGAAATGTTGCGGGCTTGGTAGACGTGCAAGTTTCGGCCGACATCGGAATTATTAATCATAATAATTATCTGACAGAAGAAAATTTGATAAATGGGTCGGTGGCAAGGTCAACTTGGCCACTAAATTTACATTAACTCGAATAGCTAGTTAATTATTTGTTGTACACCATATATATATAGTCTCCGTTGCCAGAAATAATTTCCACTATCAATCTAAAACTACAAGAGAGTCCTCACACCACCATCCCGATAATGGATCCGGTTCGGCCTCACGCGGTTTGCATCCCATACCCGGCCCAGAGCCACGTGAAGGCCTTCGTCAAACTGGCCAAGCTACTCCACAGCAGAGGCTTCCACATCACTTTCGTCAACACCGAGTTCAACCACAACCGTTTCCTCAGCTCCCGAGGCCCCCACGCCCTCGACGGCCTTCCGGATTTCCGATTCGCCACCGTCGCCGACAGCCTTCCGCCCTCGGATCCGAGCTCGACGCAGAACATACCTGCTTTGAGCGACTCAATGAGGAGGCTCATGTTGGCTCCGTTCAGGGATCTCGTTACGAAACTGAACAACCGTTCAGGTAACGCGGGGCCGCCGGTGAGCTGCATAGTGGCGGACGGGATGACGCCGTTTGCGGTGGAGGTGGCTCGAGAGATTGGCGTGCCGTCGGTGAGCTTTTGGACGTGGCCTGCTTGTGCGTTCATGGGGTTCGCGCAGTACCGCCGGCTCTATGACCAAGGCATCACTCCTCTCAAAGGTAAACTTACTAACTAATCCAACTGCATGCATGCCTTTTGTGTTAAATCGATCTATCGTTAGAAATATTAATGATAGAAAATTGGTACCCGGTGTGGTGAAGGTGAAAAGATATAGCGTAAGAACATAAGTTTTTAACTTTTCTTGTGCGATTTTGACTGCATGTATAGTGGCAGCTCTCATCAAATCAATTTATATACCATTGTGATACAGTAAATTATCCAATAGTGATGTGAACATATATATGATTATGGTATTGAATATAACATAGCTATACACAACTAATACATATTGATATACATGATCAAAAAATTATTTTTTGAAGAATATATAAAAAATAAATATCAAATTCGAAGAGTAATCATTAACAAATATAATTTTGGATTTTTTTTAAATATCAGTTAAGACAAAGAAGATACAAGCCAAAAAGATAGATAAAAACATTGGAAAAAGACATTTAATTTTAACCATCAAATTCATCCACATTCAATATCAAGGTGTCAGATTTAAGGCTAACAATTATGTCTAAACTTATATGGATTTTTTATTACTCAAAACGGTTGAGATGGATGAAAAATTCAACTATGATATAAATGTTCAAGGCTAAACTTAATAAAAAAAAAAAGATTGACAAGAATGTTCCAAAAATAAATAGAACTTAGATTATAGTATAAAAAATAATGAGTACAACTTAATACCTAAACCTGTACAATTTTTTCAAATGGTTAAATTTTATATGAAGTTCAATATATCTCAAGAAAATGGTGAAATTCATATTCAACCAATATATAATTAGAATATATTGGTTGAACGTTCTGGAATGGCCTATATACTTCCAAATTCATATTCAATCTTATAATTTAATATTGTAAAAATTCGATAAAGGTCAACTTTTGAACCTGAAATAAGTTTTGTTTGGAATCTTTTTGGTAAACTAACTAGCTACATGTAGAAATTGTTTACTATATATTATGTCACTATTTGCCAAGTCTGTATACTTTATTATTAGAGATCATGCATACCAAAGCACGACGGTGCTATTTTATATTCATTAGAACGTTCTGGTATATTTTATATTTAATATCACTCCTAATCCTAACTAATTCTCCATTCCAGTATATTTTCATTAATATAAATGTATGCCTACATAATAAAAGTATTTCGTCCTCAAAGTGGCATTCAATATTCATCTCCTAAAATCAATAGTTATTTCTAGAAGGATAACAGTATTATGGTTTATGCAAGATCCGTACGACTTAAAATGTTGGGTGCACATGACTTCAACAAACTTCCTGGTATCGCAGACAAAAGCTATTTGACGAACGGGTACCTAGACACGGTCACGGAAATTCCCGGGATGAAGAACATGAGGCTCAAAGACCTGCCCGACTTCATCCGAACAACCAACCCGGACGAACCGGTTTTCCACAACCTAATGGAAGGGGCCGAGATGGTCGCCCAGGCCTCGGCTCTGCTCATCCACACGTTCGACGCCCTCGAACCAGAAGTCCTGGCCGCCCTCAATTCCATGTACGAGCCCAACCGCGTCCACTTCATCGGACCGATGCAGCTCCTCCTCGACCAAACCGAACCAACTCGTCACCCGAACCTCGACGCAATCAGCTACAGCTTGTGGGCAGAAGAAATCGATTGCCTCCGCTGGCTGGACTCCAAACCCTCGAATTCCGTCATCTATGTCAACTTCGGCAGCATCATCACCATAACGGAAAACCATGTGGTCGAATTTGCAATGGGACTTATCAATAGTGATGTTTCCTTCCTATGGGTCATTCGGCCCGATCTTGTTACTGGCCCATCGGGAGCTCTTCCTCCAGAATTCCGAGACAAGGCTGAGGAAACCGGCTTTATTTCTGGGTGGTGCCCGCAGGAGGAGGTTCTGAACCACCCGGCCGTTGGAGGGTTTTTGACCCATTGCGGGTGGGCGTCCATGATCGAGACCTTGACCGCCGGGGTTCCAGTGCTGTGCTGGCCGGTCTTCGCCGACCAGCCAACGAATTGCAAGTTCGCCTGCAATGAGTGGGGGGTTGGAATGGAGATTGAGCAGGATGTGAAGAGGGAGGCGGTCGAGAAGCTAGTGAGAGAGCTTATGAAGGGGGAGAATGGGGAGAATTTGAGGAAGAAAGCACATGATTGGGCGGGACTGGCTCGGGAAGCTACTGGTCCGGGTGGGTCATCGACCCTTGGTTTGGATCGGTTGGTTAATGAAGTTCTTTTGAGGAAATGAGAGATTGGGTTTTGGGACCTTTGGTTTGGATTTGGGCCTCATTGGAATTGGAAGAAGCTTGAGGATGAGGAGCTTGTGCTGATAAGAGATTATTTAATTCGGAATCTACGATTTCAGATCATGCACATGTGTGCTAATAATGCATGGGTTTTAGAGAATCCCTCATTTTTATTCATAAATAAATATGTATTGAAGGTATTGACTGGAGGAATAATATCACATCGATTGTTCAGCACTAAGGAGCCTCCTGGACGACGTCGTGTTCTCACCCGGAAGCAGTTGAAGAGCTGGGAAAGAACGGTGTCGTCTTTGTTAGTGTTGATAGAGTTCCGTTTTTACTGTTCAAGTACACCTGTCCATATTTGATTTGTAGTTAGTTTGTATTTTCGTTTCTTACCGTTGGAACAGTTGTACAGAGGTAACTTTCCCTTGCCTTCCTTCAGAAGGTGTTGGGTTGATATATATACAAGGCCTTGAGCCTCAATGATTCCTGCGGGTTTCATTCCAAATACATCCAATCTAAGAAATCTCATATGGTATCAGAGCCTGGTTCAGGCGTCTAGGGTTTCCTTTACCTACCATTACCCGCATTCTTCTTCTACCTCAATCTGTTTTCTGATTTCGCTTCCTCCTTCCGATCATGGCGACGGAGGCCGCTTCTTCCACTGTGGCTACAACTGCTACTAGTACCACAGTGGTTTCTACAGTCACCAATCCCTTTTATGTGAATCCTAATGAGTCCTTGAGCTTTCCAATCAAGCTCACAGGCACTGCAAACTACAACCTCTGGAGTCGCACTGTAAGAGTTGCGTTGAAGAGTAAGAACAAGTTGGGTTTTATCAATGGGACTATTCCAGTTCCAGATCCAACTCATGAGAGCTACCAAGCCTGGGAGCAAAGCAACACAGCAGTCTACTTCCTCATTCTAGGATCTCTTGACCCAGCCTTAGTCAACAGTGTGTCATCTCAGGAAAATGCAAAGCTTCTCTGGGATGATTTGAGGCAACGTTATGGGCAAGCTGATAATATCAGGATAAGTGATCTTCAGACTGCTGTTTACACCCTGAAACAAGGTAACAAATCTGTTAACCAATTTTATGCTGAACTGAAAGGACATTGGGAAGAATTAGTCCAGTTTTTGCCCATTCCAACTTGTGTGTGTGCTGGAGATCGGGGAAATAGAGTTATGCCCTGTATTACAGAAACTACGGTTCAGAAGTACAGGGAGAATGAATTCGTCACTAGATTCATAACAGGGTTGAATGAAACTTATGGAGGTGTTAAAACCAATATGCTCATGATGCACCCACTGCCAACCATGGAAACTGCTTTTCATTATGCTATTCAGCATGAAAGGCAAGTGGCTAAACCTAGTCAAGAATCACAGGTAGATACTGTTGCTCTACTTGCTGCTAGTCAAGGAAAAGGGAAGGAGAATGCCAGAGGAGGACAGGGACAGGGTCCTCTTTTCTGCAGATTTTGCAAAAAGGATAACCATGTCATTGCTGACTGTTATAGACTCAAAAGGAAAAACAAAGATTCTGGATCTCCTTCACCGTTTGCAGGACAAGTTCAAAGCACAAACAATGTTGGAGGGGGAATTCTACCAAAGCCAGAGACTAGATCAGCAACTGAGTCTAGTGATGGTTTCACAAACCTAAGACTGTCTAATGATGATATCAGTAGACTGCAGAGGATCTTGTCACAGTTTGGATCTCCCAGCTCCCCCACTTCACCTGGATCTCCTGGTACTAATCAGAATGGCCAACAAACACAGCAGCCCATGGTGAATTCTGTGAGCAGACACATATCAGTGAATCCCAACTATGCTGGTAAATACACTCTGACCTCATATATACAACAACATCCATTGGAATTGATTAGTGTGTGGTTCTTAGATACAGGTGCAACTGATCATGTGACATGTTCTGTTTCCAATTTCATTAAACATAAACCTATCATGAATGTCTTTGTGACTCTACCAAATAGTTCAAAAACCCCTGCAACTCACTCTGGTAGTGTTCGTTTATCTCCTCACCTAGTCATTCATGATGTTTTATTTGTCCCAACCTTTTCCTTTAATCTGGTTTTTGTGAGCAAACTCACACAGTACTTACCCATTTCACTCATTTTTAAATCAACCATTTGTTCTATCCAGGACCTTCTAACCAAGAGGATGATTGGTTTTGCCCAAGAGACTAGAGGATTATACCAACTTGTTCCAACCACAGAAGACCATTCCATACATATTAACTCCCTCAAGACACACAATCTCACACCCCAGTCTTTTGACATTTGGCATTGGCGATTGGGGCACCCATCTGATGTTAGAGCTAAGGAGTTGAAGAAAGTCATCCCTAGTATAGATATAGAGTCCATACACCACTGTGATGTTTGTCATATGTCTAAACAAAAACGTCTTTCCTTTCCCTTGAGTCAGTCCATTGCAAATGAAGTTTTTGATCTTATCCATGTAGACATTTGGGGCCCTTTGGCTGTTTCAAGTTACAATGGTTTCCATTACTTCCTTACTATTGTGGATGACAAGTCTAGATGTGTATGGACATACCTGATGAAATTTAAGAGTGAAGCCAGAAAACTTCTGCAGGATTTTTGTGTTATGATACATACACAGTTTGATAAAAAGATAAAAACAATTAGGTCTGATCAAGGAGCTAAGTTCCACATACCAGAGTTTTATTCTCTACATGGTATAGTTCACCAAATGTCATGTGTAGAGACACCTCAACAGAATGCTAGAGTAGAGAGAAAGCATCAACACATATTGAATGTAGCTCGATCCCTCAAATTCCAATCTGGTCTCCCCTTGAAATTTTGGTCAGATTTTGTCCTTCATGCTGTTTACCTGATAAACAGACTTCCTTCCATTGCCATTAAGAACAAAACACCATATGAAGTTCTCTATGGTTCTCCACCAGATTTATCTTTGTTAAAAGTTTTTGGGTGCTTATGCTATGCCAGTACATCAGGACACAATCGAACCAAATTTCTACCAAGAGCCAAACAATGTGTCTTTCTGGGTTTTCCTTCTGGAATTAAGGGATACAAACTACTGGATCTTCAAGACCAGAAAGTTATAATCTCTAGAGATGTGGTCTTTCATGAGGATATCATACCTTGTTTATCTACTTCTCCCATATCCATTCAGCCTTCTGATCCTTCTCCCATTTCTCCTCCAGTAAATACATTCCCTTCTTTTCCTTTTCCTCCAGATCCATTTCCTTCTACACCTGCTATGCCTTCTAATACTCCTCAAGCAGAACCATCATCTCCTTTACCACATCAATCCTCCCCAAACCATTCACCTTTACCTTCTACAAACACTTCTCCTCAACCATCTGCTTCTTCCATACCTGTTTCACCACAAACTGCATCCCTTCCCATAGCAGTCAGAAAACCAACCAGAAACATTTCCAAACCTATCAAATACAATGATTATGTGCTGCATTTAGGAACCACACATACTAAATCAGTTTATCCTTTGGTTGCTAGTTTATCATATGATCAGTTATCTCCTAGTTACAGGAAATATGTATTGGCAGTGGATTCATCCATCATTCCTGGCTCATTTGAAGAAGCAGTTAGAGAAGAACACTGGAGAAGGGCCATGAATTTGGAAATAGCAGCTCAAGAAGCAAACAGAACCTGGGATATAGTTCCCAGACCCCTTCATAAGAGAGTGATTGGAAATAGGTGGGTATATGCTATCAAATTCTTGTCTGATGGCACACTTGAAAGACACAAGGCTAGACTGGTAGCCAAAGGGTTTACTCAAATTTATGGGATTGATTTCCTAGATACTTACTCTCCAGTGGCCAAGCTCAATTCAGTCAAGACACTTCTTGCAGTAGCAGCATCTAAAGGATGGACCATGTACCAACTTGATGTCAGTAATGCCTTCTTAAATGGGGATCTGGAGGAAGAGGTGTACATGGAACTTCCTCCTGGTATGGTCAAGGAAGGTTATGTTTGCAAGCTTAGGAAGTCTCTCTATGGCCTAAAGCAGGCCTCTAGGCAGTGGTTTGCTAAACTGACCTCTGTCCTTCTCTCATTTGGATACACACAGTCTCATAGTGACCATTCCATGTTTCTTCACCATTCTTCTTCTGGCACATCCATTCTTCTGGTCTATGTGGATGATATCATCATTGCTGGTGATGACATTCCCAGTATGCAATCTCTCAAACATCATCTCAGCAATCAGTTTAAACTCAGGGATCTTTGCCATCTTCATTACTTTCTTGGCTTGGAAATGGCCAGATCCAGGGAGGGAATACACATATGTCAAAGGAAATACTGCACAGACCTATTGAATGAAACAAGATTTGCTGATTCCAAACCTGTGGTGACTCCTATTGACATGAAGACAAGATTGTCTGCAGATGATGGTCCACCTTTGGATGACCCTGGACTCTACAGAAGAATAGTGGGGAGACTCCATTATTTAACCATTACCAGACCTGAGATCACATTTGCAGTTCAGCAATTATGCCAGTACCAAGCAGCACCAACTACCACACATCTACAGCTAGCCTATAGAATTCTGAAGTATTTAAAGAATGCCCCTGGACAAGGTTTGTTCTATTCTTCTTCTTCTGATCTTACCCTGAGAGGGTATAGTGATTCAGACTGGGCTTCCTACCCTGATACAAGGTGGTCCACAACTGGATACTGTATTACCCTTGGAACTTCATTGATCATATGGAAATCCAAGAAACAAGGGACAGTTTCCAGGTCATCATCTGAAGCTGAGTATAGGGCTCTTGCTCAGTTGACATGTGAAGTTGTTTGGGTGAAAAGGCTATTACAGGAACTTGGAATTGACCATCAAAAGCCTGTAAACCTTTCCTGTGACAGTCGATCTGCAATATATATAGCTGAAAATCCAGTGTTCCATGAGAGAACAAAGCACATTGAGATCGACTATCATGTGGTTCGTCAATTTCTCTAGTCAAAGCTCATAGGGTTGAGTCACTTGGACACAGAAAACCAGATTGCAGATCTCTTCACCAAGGGGCTCAGCAGGTTCAGATTGCAGTATTTACTATCCAAGCTGAGCATACAAAACTTGTATGCACCAGCTTGAGGGAGGGTATTGAAGGTATTGACTGGAGGAATAATACCACATCGATTGTTCAGCACTAAGGAGCCTCCTGGACGACGTCGTGTTCTCACCCGGAAGCAGTTGAAGAGCTGGGAAAGAACGGTGTTGTCTTTGTTAGTGTTGATAGAGTTCCGTTTTTACTGTTCAAGTACACCTGTCCATATTTGATTTGTAGTTAGTTTGTATTTTCGTTTCTTACCGTTGGAACAGCTGTACAGAGGTAACTTTCCCTTGCCTTCCTTCAGAAGGTGTTGGGTTGATATATATACAAGGCCTTGAGCCTCAATGATTCCTGCGGGTTTCATTCCAAATACATCCAATCTAAGAAATCTCATAATATGCGCATTTGCTTAAATGGGAATTCAAATATGTATGTTCATCATGCAAGTTGAAGTTGTGGTTCTCTGTAAGTAGCTCCTACTTATTCCGATTTAACTGATTTTCATCTCTTGCGCTCATGTTTACGATCCGCTAATTGTTAAGTACTTGTTGAGGATATGCGCATGATTTAAGAAATCATATCGTATCAGTCGGTTCTGTAGAAAGCGTCGAGCGCGAGACCAATAAGCACCTTTCCTTTGTTTTGTTGATTCTGGTTCAGAGACATCTCGTTCTTTCTATCGCCCAGAACTAAGAGCGAAGCTTTGGGTAGAAATGAGGGTTTGATCGAGATAGAAGGGGATGACTCTCAATCTCACGTTTTAGTTCAGTGGGCTTGGTATTAGAGAGGATTGGGTTCCGAGCCCAATATGACTTTCACTTAGCCCACTTAGTTCCTTTTCTACAGCCTGCACACTTTAACGTTTGGTTTTAGTTAGAAAACAAACCTAGAGTTCCTTACCTTAAAACTTACCGTTTTGTCAACACTTCTCCGCCTCTGTTTCTTTTCGTTTTCTATTCACGGAAGTACCCTACAGTTCAGCTCAAGCCCAGAAACAAGAACAATATATGAAGATTGAACATATCAAAGTACAGAGCACGACGCACACCGATTTTTACGTGGTTTCCGACGTTGGGAGAATAAGGATCCCAACGTCGACTAGTCTACGGTCTGAGAATCACTACTTGTGTTCTCAGACGATCCACTAAAATATGTTCGATGAAGCTCGGCAATTACAGTGAAGTTTCAACCCGATCGATTAGCTCCCCGCTTAATCGACAATCTTTTCCTATCAGCTACCCAGCCGATCCACTACTGGTTTCCCCGAAACCCCGATCCTAACCCAGAACCTTTTCTCATAGTTCTGTGCTGACTTTTACTTGCTGATTGATATACAGTTCTTCTCTCACTTGTATCGCTCAACCCTTGCTTGCTAAAAGTCTGCCTCATTCTCTATTCCGAATGTTTGAGCTTTCCTTCTTTGCTTCCACCGCAATCACACTTTCCATCTTTGTGGTAGACCAAATAAATCACCGATGCTGATTCTGTACGACGATTGCGATGCTGACCTCAACAGGTTCGACCTGGTCGAGATATCACATATCAAAGTCTAAACCATAGGCAATTTTAGCAGTACAAAACTGTTAAATTAACCACGATTTTAGTATAAAATACTCAACCACTAACTTTTTCAATATAACTTCGATTCGGTACGATTTTACAAACATAATTAGATATGAGATGAAACTCGGTTTGATGTATGGCTTACAACTTACCCAATTCCTTTGTAGCCGTTTGAATCTAACGTTTGAGCTTTCCTTCTTTGCTTCCACCGCAATCACACTTTCCATCTTTGTGGTAGACCAAATAAATCACCGATGCTGATTCTGTACGACGATTGCGATGCTGACCTCAACAATATCCCCCTCAGTTGAGCAACGTCCTTCCCTGCAATCTTTGCACAAGAACACTACACACAACCGTTATGGAAACACATTCCTCTCGATCATTAATTGGAAAGCCATATCACATAACTTCAATGAAAACTCGAGAAGGCATTATTCCAAAACACATGCTGCAAAAACAGGGGAAAAAACAAGACCCAACTTATTCAAGGACTAACACGTCACACAAGACCCAACTTATTCAAGGACTAACACGTCACACAAAGGAAAAGCCTCCCCCTGACACTTAGACTTCTAAAAATCATACTCTGGATCAGACTCATATTCTGAAATTTCCCCATCGGAAGGATGAGAAAAATTATCAGCCCGAGAGGCCTTATCCCCTCCATCCTCTTCAGCTTCTTCCGGTTCTTCAAACTCCTCTGGCTCCAAAGATTCTTCTGCCTTTTTAGCTGCTGCATTCTTGATGGTGGACATGACTCGAATGCTTTTTCCTTCCGTGGTTGGACGAAGTGGTTCCTCCTTGCTTCTGTCCATCAGCTTCCTTTTTCCGGTATCTTTTGTTATTCCTTCCAAACATTTGCTAACAGCAGCGAGGTCAGCTTCGGTGTTGCGAACTTCTTCAGCCCTTTCTCCCCCTTGAGCACTCCGAAGCTTGCGAACACCAACGGATGCATCAACACGTCGAAGAACGTGTTGTGAACGAAGTGTGTCAAGCACGTTAACAGAGGAGGCCTTGTCCTCAAGGTCGATCCCAAGACAGCGGAGGAATCGAGAGATCTGGGGAGCAAAAGGAAGGTACCCTCCGTTGCGATGATTGCTGTAGACCATCATATGATGGAACATAAGATGTGGATAGCTCAGCTTCTGGTACGAGACAGCGTTGGACATGATCCAGAGATCGAGAGGAGTGACCGTCGATCGATCGACAGTGCGAGGGAGGAAAAACCGGGTGATGTAAAAGTGCAGCACCTTCAGCTCATCAGGAAGACAACTTATATTTGTAGAGTTAGTTCCAAAGGTCTCTATTGAGGATAAACGTGAGATAGCAACTCGAGGACTGAAGTGATACCGATAAAAATCATTCTCACTCATTACCTCCCGGCCTTCGGTGGACATGTGCAACTTCTGGGACAGGAGCTCCACGGTGATGGTGACGGTGTGACCATACACCGTAGTGGTCACAGTAGGTGTACCATGGCCATTGTTTTGCCGCATGTAAGCATAGAAGGTTCGCACTGCCTCTGGACAGTAGGTGAACCTTCTGCTTTCCAGGAGATAGTCCCACCCAAGAGCACTGATCAGCTACTGTGACCACTACGGTGTATATGAATTGAACGTGGCTGGCTCAATCGTATATAAAGGAATGAGGCGTCTATGGCAGAAATAGCATAAGTACCGAGGATAATCCCGAGGTTCAGGACAAATATTGTTGGTGAACACTGATGCTCTCGCAGTCATGAGGGACAGCTGAGGATTGAACGCCATGGTGAAGTTTTAGGAGGGGAGAGCAGGCAATGATGGTGGATGAGAAAGAGGGTGAGTGACGGCAGGGATTAAATAGGCCAGGTTCACAGAAACGAGCAGGGAAGGAATCACCAAGAGACGGTAAGTAGAGATTTGAATACGAAATCAGAGGGATGTGGGAAGGGACAGAGACTAGGAGGAAATCAGACTCAGCATTAAGAGATAGCTCAGAATAATTAGTTACCCTAACTATTGTATCCCCTAGTTTAAAACAAATTGACTTACCTTAACCTGAGTACACAACTAATTCACATTGTATAGAGATAAAACTTACCTGTTTTTACCTGTGTCACGAGTTTGCACTGATTACCACTTCTTAATCAAGGATCTGCCAGCAGATTCCCAAACGGTCACGAGTTTTAATGAGATGCAGTCACTGCTTCCAATGGAGCTAGCCCCAATTCTCTCCGAATGAGAGAAAAAGGTTCAGCAGCAAGGGGTTTCGTGAAAATATCGGCCCACTGAAATTGGGTAGGAATAAATTCTAGCCGAATAATGTTGCTTTCCACTAATTCACGAATGAAATGAAACCTAATGTCAATATGTTTTGTTCTTGAGTGCTGGATAGGGTTCTTTGCTATATTGATCGCGCTGGTGTTATCACACAGCACAGGCAATTCACTGAACTTCATACCATATTCCAGAAGTTGGTATTTGATCCACAAAATCTGAGTACAGCACGCACCAGTTGCTACATATTCAGCCTCTACAGTTGAGAGGGCTACAGAGTTCTGTTTCTTGCTAAACCAAGATACAAGAGATGTGCCTAGAAAGTGACAAGCCCCTGAAGTACTTTTTCGATCAGTTAAGCTTCCGGCAAAGTCCGAGTCACTGTATCCTACTTGATCTAATCCTGACCCACTAGAGTACCATAGTCCCCAAGACACAGTGCCAGACAAGTATCTGAAGATACGCTTAACTGCTATGAGGTGACTTTCCTTAGGGGAGCTTTGGAAGCGGGCGCAAACACAGACAGCAAACATGATATTGGGACGACTAGCAGTTAAGTATAACAGGGAGCCTATCATTCTTCTGTACAGCTTTTCACTAATACTAATCACGACATTGCTAAGCTTGTCGTACCATGCTCTAGGAGCTTGTTTCAGCCCGTACAAAGCCTTGTTTAGTTTATAGACATGGTTTGGGTATTTGGGATACTCAAATCCTGGAGGTTGGGTCACATAAACATCTTCTTTCAAGTCCCCATTCAAAAAAGCACTTTTCACATCCATTTGGAAAAGTTTAAAACCATTTGAGCTAGCAAACGCACAGAGCATCCTAATGGCTTCGAGTCTTGCCACGGGGGCAAAAGACTCTTCAAAATCAATCCCTTCTTCTTGGCAATAACCTTGAGCAACAAGCCTAGATTTATTTCTAATTATGCGACCTACATCATTTGATTTGTTTTTATATATCCATTTAGTCCCTATGACATTTACACCTTCTGGTTTGGGAACAAGATCCCAAACCCTGGCTCTTTCAAACTGATTCATCTCATCATGCATGGATTCTAACCAAAATTCATCACATAAAGCCTCGTCTACATTCTTAGGCTCAAATAGAGATACAAAAGCATTCCGGTTGTTCACAGTTTTGGATCGAGTTACCATACCTTCACTGAGCTTACCTATGACCAAGGTGGGTGGATGTCGTTTGCTTATATGAGGTGGAGGATGCAATTCTTCAGATTCAGGATCTGCCTGGTCCTTATTTTTACTTGCTTCTTCCTCTTCTTGCCTTGCGGTAACCTCCACATCTGAACTGCTACTGCTTTTTCCAAGTCCGAAATCATCATCATCTAGTTCTTCTGAAATTTCACTAACAGACTCGTCAAAAATAACATTTATGGACTCCTCAACTTTGAGGGTCCTTTTATTGAACACTCTGTAAGCTCTACTTACATTTGAGTAACCAAGAAATACTGCCTCATCGGACTTGGCATCAAACTTACCTAGATTATCCTTTGTGTTAAGCACAAAACATTTGCAGCCGAAGGGGTGGAAGTATCCTAGATTAGGCTTTCTACCTTTCCAGATCTCATACGGGGTTTTCTTAATTTCAGACCTCACTAAAGCCCTATTAATAATGTAGCAAGCAGTGTTGACTGCTTCTGCCCAAAAATATTTTGGCAGATTGTAGTCATTCAGCATGGTCCTAGCAATTTCAATCATAGTCCGGTTTTTACGTTCTACCACTCCGTTTTGCTGCGGAGTCCTAGGGGCAGAAAAGTTATGATGAATGTCCTGATCTATACAAAAAGAATTAAAACTATCAGAAATAAACTCACCTCCGTGATCACTTCTGATCCCAATTACTTTACCTTGTTTTTCAGTCTCTAGTTTCTTGGTGAGCATTTTGAAGTTTTCAAACGCTTCATCCTTACTAGCCAAGAAAAGTACCCAGGTGAAACGTGAAAAATCATCTACTATAAAGAAAGCATAACTCTTCCCTCCATAACTTACCACATTTGTTGGACCAAACAGATCTAGGTGAAGAAGCTCAAGAGGTTTAATAGAAGAGATCATATTGATGCTTTTAAAACTTGACTTGGTATGTTTTCCTTTGGCGCAAGCATCACAAAAAAATTCCTTTTTACTTTTAATCTTGGGAAGACCTCTAACCAACTCTAAATTAACCAATTTGGAAAGAATCCCTATATTTACATGCCCTAACCTCCTATGCCACTCAAATTTATCATTATTATTCAAGGACACTAAGCAGAGTTCTTCAGACAACCTTTTACTATTAAGATCAAACACATATACTTTACCTTCTCTTTTTCCGGTGAGCAGAATTTCCTTGGACATTTTATTTTCAATGTAGCACATATCCGACTCAAAAATTACTCTATTTCCTAAGTTGCAAATTTGGTTTACTGAGATCAGATTGTGTTTTAAATTATCAACTAGCATGACATTTGAAATACTAGGTCCAACCCCAACTTGCCTATTCCTAAGGGGTCGTTTGCTTGTTGGATTTGAAAAATGAGGGTTTTGGCCAATAAAAACCTTGGGATTTATGTTGGATTTATTGGATTATGGATTTAAAGAGTCTAATGTTCGCATGATAGATTTGATGATGGATTTGTGATGGATTTGTTAAATAAATATCTAACCATCAAGGATTTGCAAATCCCAAATCAATATGTGGGATTTACAAGTCCGTGGGGTCCACGGATTTGGTTCCAAAATAAAGACCAAATCTGTGGACCCCACGGATTTAGCACCCTTCAACAAACAATGGACTTATGTTAAATCCATCAAGCTTGGGATTTGGGTACCAAATCCATGACCCAAATCCAACAAGCAAACGACCCCTAAGATTTCTGCTGAGTTATTGTCTCCGAAGAATACTTTACCTCCTTTACCTTCTTTGAATTTAGTGAACAGTTCTTTGTTACCCATCATATCACGTGAGCAGCCGCTGTCCAGAATCCACTTGTTTGTCTTCCTGCTCACTCGAAGACCATCCTGCACAATTAGCAGTCAACTTGTTTTCCGTACCCAGATCATCTTGGGTGCGTTGTTGTTTTGAATTTTTCTACCATAAGCAGAACGTGCCTCAACACAAGTTAGTCTTTTCCAGTTTTCTGCCACCATACGTTTCCTACAAAACTTAATGATGTGTCCCTCTCGATGGCAATAGTAGCACTCTACAGGTTTAGATTCTCTACTACATGTTTGTAATGACTGTGGCAGTTTCCAGACTCGACGCTATTTTTTTCTTTGAGTTTCCTTACCTGAGTGAGTAACTCTAGTTTTTCCTTTTGTAATGTGCTAACTGTGTTGGTTAGATCATGACACTTAAGCTTGTAATCATTAACCTGTTTGTACAGTTGGTTCTTTTCATCTTTAGCCTCAATAAATTCCTCTTTTAATTTGTTATATTTGACTTTAACGGCTGCAAATTCAAGCTGAATACTCCTTATTGTAGTAGTTAACGGATCATCATCACTATAGTAGTCAGACTCACTAAATTCAGGAGTTTTACATACCTCAGATGGTTTGCTGTCGAGGGCCAAGTCATCAATGGCCATTAAGCATGTATCCTTCTTTCGAGAATGATCCTCGAAATCATCTTCGTCGTCGTCACTGCAACTCCATGTAGCGGGCATCCCTTTTCTTTTCTCCACAACGGACAGTCAGCCTTGACATGGCCTTGCCTTCCACATTTGAAGCATCCTGATTGAATCTTCTCGACTTGAGCAGTGTCCCTCTTTATTTTTGAATGACTCATACCCTGCTTCCCACTGATTTGTTCTCGATCAAGATCTCTGTCTTTATGTTGACTCGCAAACTGCCCTCATCTTCTTTCTTTTCTCATCCTCATCAGTTGGGAGATATGATTACTAAGCATTGCAAGTTCATCGTCATCCATGTCCTGATAACTGTCACACTCTTCCTCGTACACTTGAGTCCTGAACGCTATCCCGCGTTTTTCTTTCTTCTGCTCTTCCCTAGACTCTCTGATAATCTTCTCCTCATATGTAGTAAGTGATCCAATTAGCTCATCTACCGGTAACTTACTCAGGTCTTTGGCCTCTTCTATTGCCGTAACCTTAGCTTCCCACTTCGTCGGCAATGACCACAGCAGCTTCCGTACCAAATCACCACTTTCATATGAAATCCCCATGTTTTCCAAACTATTTACCGTAGTTCTGAACCTCTCATACATCTGTCTAATAGTTTCTCCTTCCATCATCTTAAACAATTCAAATTCTGTTTTCAGACTATTGATTCTTGAGATTTTGACTTGGGAAGTTCCTTCGTATGTTACCTGGAGTTTATCCCAGATCTCTTTGGCAGTTTTGCAGCCTGATACCTTGTGATACTCTTCCGATCCAAGTGCGCAGTACATGAGGTTTGTGGCCTTGCAGTTTTGCTGGTGCTTGTCTCGGTCTTCATCTGTCCATTTGCTTCGGTTAGCTTTCACCTCCAGAGGTCCATCAAGAAATCTATCCCAAATCTTTGGATCGGTTGATCCTATGAAGAGTTCCATTCGATTCTTCCAGTAGCCATAGTTGACCCCTTCAAATCGTGGTGGTCGATTCTGAGAGAATCCATCGGCAAGGTACAAAACCGCTCCACTTCCCGATCCCGATGCCATTTTGATTACTCCGGAGATCGCGAGATCCTTTCAACAGAGCCAGGCTCTGATACCACGTGTAGCGTCGAGCGCGAGACCAATAAGCACCTTTCCTTTGTTTTGTTGATTCTGGTTCAGAGACAACTCGTTCTTTCTAGCGCCAAGAAATGAGAGCGAAGCTTTGGGTAGAAATGAGGGTTTGATCGAGATAGAAGGGGATGACTCTCAATCTCACGTTTTAGTTCAGTGGGCTTGGTATTAGAGAGGATTGGGTTCCGAGCCCAATATGATTTCCACTTAGCCCACTTAGTTCCTTTTCTACCGCCTGCACACTTTAACGTTTGGTTTTAGTTAGAAAACAAACCTAGAGTTCCTTACCTTAAAACTTACCGTTTTGTCAACACTTCTCCGCCTCTGTTTCTTTTCGTTTTCTATTCACGGAAGTACCCTACAGTTCAGCTCAAGCCCAGAAACAAGAACAATATATGAAGATTGAACATATCAAAGTACAGAGCACGACGCACACCGATTTTTACGTGGTTTCCGACGTTGGGAGAATAAGGATCCCAACGTCGACTAGTCTACGGTCTGAGAATCACTACTTGTGTTCTCAGACGATCCACTAAAATATGTTCGATGAAGCTCGGCAATTACAGTGAAGTTTCAACCCGATCGATTAGCTCCCCGCTTAATCGACAATCTTTTCCTATCAGCTACCCAGCCGATCCACTACTGGTTTCCCCGAAACCCCGATCCTAACCCAGAACCTTTTCTCATAGTTCTGTGCTGACTTTTACTTGCTGATTGATATACAGTTCTTCTCTCACTTGTATCGCTCAACCCTTGCTTGCTAAAAGTCTGCCTCATTCTCTATTCCGAATGTTTGAGCTTTCCTTCTTTGCTTCCACCGCAATCACACTTTCCATCTTTGTGGTAGACCAAATAAATCACCGATGCTGATTCTGTACGACGATTGCGATGCTGACCTCAACAGGTTCGACCTGGTCGAGATATCACATATCAAAGTCTAAACCATAGGCAATTTTAGCAGTACAAAACTGTTAAATTAACCACGATTTTAGTATAAAATACTCAACCACTAACTTTTTCAATATAACTTCGATTCGGTACGATTTTACAAACATAATTAGATATGAGATGAAACTCGGTTTGATGTATGGCTTACAACTTACTTAATCCAGTTAAGGGTGAAGGTCCTTTCTGGCGGGTCTAATGAAACTTTCTAGCTAGGCTCTCATCGTTTTCGCAAAACATGCTTTTAAATGGGGCAACTTCATGTGAAGAAATTTTGGTATATGCATGTATAGTTGATAGGAGGGCATAGGATTATGAAATGCATAACTTGTTGTGTATAGATTTGGTCTTGTAATTTTTAGTGGATGATTTGATGGTTGATAGGAGGGTGTATAGGATTATTAAATGCATAACTTATAGTTATGCATTTGATTTTAACTCGAATTTTCAAAAAAATTGCACCGAAGGAACATGTTCATTGTGATTTACAAATTGATATTCCAAATTGATTTACAAACTGATATTACTTGTTGATATATTTTGGAATTTTTGTGGGATCGACCCAATTATACCACCCTCTAGAATAATGGTAGATGGTGGTTAATACTTTCCTACCATCAATTTGTGCTATGATGATATATTCATATTTCCATCATATGTTTTCATACCATCATGGTCATCGTACAATCTCATGTAGGGCGGAGCTAGCGTGGAGGAAGAGGGTTCCATGGCACCCCTCCCTTGTCATTTCAACAATAAAAAATATATACTTGAAAATGGAACTCATTTAGAATAGAAATAAGAAAGGATTGAAAAAATTGTACCGAGATTGTATCGGAAAAGTCAGTACTGGGGTATTTTATGTTAAAATCGTGGTTCAACCGTTTCATACCGCTAAACAGTACCGACTATCGATTTCGCTTCGAGTAAGAGAGTTTTTTGCTTGAACTGCCGATAGAATATGATTTTTCAATCCTCGGAAATAAGTACTCAATTTCACCCTCAAGTTAGTTGTTTGGGAGAAAAAAATTAATATTTTTTATCAACTTACAATAAAAACTAAATTTTTATTAAAAATTCACCAAAGACTAATTAGACTTAAATTAACACCAACACAACTAAATTCTAATTCTCTCGTTACCTACCTTTCCTCAAAAAATTCTCAATATTTCAAGTCAAATAAGCGATAATATCATAAATTTTCTTTTATATGAGACATTACAAATAAAGTTCTCAATAGCTAACATTTTCAAAGTATGAAAAGGCCATGACATATTTTTAAACTGGAACCCCTTGTATCATATCATGACTACGCCACTAATCTCATGTACTATAATGTATACCACCATCCTGCACTACCATATATTCCTATCATCATGATACATTTCCACATCTTATGTACCACCATGGTATATTATGATTAAAAAGATTCCTCCAATAACGTATTGTTCGAAAATATATCAAACTGGATGTCATTTTGGTAGAACACAATTAATTTGATTTATTTATAAATAATAAAAATAATAAAAATGAATGAGATATAATATGCTTAATTCATCATGAGGAAAAAGTTATGTCATAGGTCAATGATTATAAGTTACTAATCGAATTTGCCCTAACTTTTGAGTACCTCTAGCTACTATCGACATATAATAGTTTTTTTTATTGAAAGGAGGTGAGAAAAAGAATTTTGTTCCACCAAAGACAACCTGAAACAGACAGGGGGCAAGCGGCAGCCCCCGCTACCAAGAACCCCAAACATGCGCGCAAGCGGCAAAATCACCTCAAATCAAAACAGAGGAAAAAAGCGCAGGGGGAGTCTAGACACTACTCATCCCTAATTGCCATTCGGGGAAACCTAACTCCCATGAGATCTTCTCTAATAATCCGAGCTAACTCCGGGGTGGGACTTCCAGTTCATACATACCGAAGGGATAGACGAGACTGTGCTTCGAGAGCCAGTCCGCGACGACTCTATTCCCTTCTCGATATGTATGTCCCAGTTGCAACACCCAGTTCGGGCCAAGGAGGAGCTGAATTTCACCGAGAATACTAGCATGAAGATGAACAGGGTCATGAGGTACTCGAATCAGTTCCAACGCTAATGCAGAGTCCGACTCCAAGAACAAGAACTGGATCTCGTGTTTCAAAGCAAGCTTAAGACCCTGCAGTATGAGCCAATGCTCGGCCAAAATCGCCGTGCCTGAACCAATCATGTGCACAAAACCTGCTATTCACTCCCCATCGCTATCCCGAGTGATCCTTCCCGCTGCTATGTCTCCACTGTGACCTTGAGCTGCCCCCTCAGTGTTTAGCGTAAACCAACCAGCTGTAGGTGGCGTCCATCCAATGAGCTTTTCAACCCGGGCTGGTTTGAAAGACTCGTACCCTCTCCAGGACATGAAGTTTCCATATGCTCTTCCAAAAAGCAGGCTGCTATGTCGAGGGGATGTGAGGGGAAATAGCCTGAAAAGCCGTCTTTGTTGAGAAGGCACCATTTGTTGTAAGCTTCAAGCGCAATTGGTCTTCCTCCCGCGTCATTGGATCGAAATAGAAGGCCCTTAAGGTTGCAATGGTTTCTTGGCTGAGGTAGTCTTCCAGTTCTTCAAGCTTCAGACCATGTTCCTGGTGTCAGTAGTGCGCCACCTGAAGGGACGAAGGGTTAAAACTCGGAAGCGGTTAGCTTGCCAACCTTCTAAGGGTCAGAAAAATGACACCCCTAGCAGCAGAAGGAGGAATATAATTAAGAAGTGATTTAGCGTTATCTAGATTCCCCATACAAAAACCGAAAGTGGATACAATCCTCACAATATAAAACCCGAATAGCTAGAAGCGAGAGGGGGAAATCCCTAATCAGCCTGCCGCTATAGAGAAAAGATGTGGAGGCGATCACTCTCCACAAATCTCTACAGGCTGTAACCCGGGAAAAACTTAGGCACCCGGCGTACCAGCTAGGCTGTGCACCACCCCAATTAAAGTATGCCACGTATATGTCTAGAAATAAATAGTGGCTGGACGGCGGGACGGGATTTCTCGGCGCCGATTTAGACTCCATCCCAAATTCCCAAGAAAGCATCCGTCGTGTATCATCTCAATCCCACCAGCAATCATTTTCCTTTCCCAACTTAATTGATTCCACCTCCTTGTCGTCAGAATGAGTTAATTTTTCATCAGAGCATATATCTTCCTATTAGTTCAATTGTTAATATTTCGGGAAGAAATTCTCTGAAATGGAGCATCTGAATATTCCACCGGCGACCGATCTGAATCCCTTGGGAAGGCCACCAGATGAACACCATCCCATGCCTACTGCGTGCGACCACCAGACTCCTTCTGCTGTTGTAGCCAGCGAGCCCCCATAGATCAGCTCAAGCGACACAAACATGATCGTTTATCCCGTGCCACCGGAGAAACTCTCACCACAACGGTCGGGTACAACTCCTATATCTTATGCTAATGTTGTGTCCGGACAGGTTTTGGAGATCAATAAGCCAGGAGCTCATGGACACCGGTTGGTGAACATGATCTAATCCCTGGCAATGTACGCTGGTTGTTCGAACACTGGGATTGAGCATCTCTTTCATGACGTTCAGCAACAAGATCAAAGCCCTATGGCGTCCAACAGGTACTCTCGAGATCATGGCTCTAGGACAGGAGTGCTTCCTGGTTAAACTAAGTAGTGACACTGACTATTTTTTAGCGTTGACAGAGGGTCCCTAGGTCATTTTGTATCACTATTTGGTGGTCTACCAATGGACTCCGACGTTTCGCCTCTCAGACTCTCTGCCAAAAACCATGGTGGTTTGGATCCAGTTCCCTGCGTTACATGTCCACTTCTATCACAAGGAGGTCTTGTTCTCGTTGGGAAACATGGTTGGAAGGGCGATCAAGCTCGATTTCCATACTCTGCACTAGCAATAAGCAAAATTCGCCAGAATGAAAATGGAGCTTGATCTATCAAAACTAGTCGTGACGCGCACTCGGTTAGACGGACAGTGGCAATACATCGAGTACGAGAACCTCCCTGTTGTCCCAAGCTAGCGTCGGCGGCTCCGCAGCCCTTCGCTGGGAACAAAGGAACCCAACTAGAAAACCCTACAGCGTCTCTACCAGAGGAAAGAGAGGGCTTTGGCCCATGGATGCAAGTTACACGTAGATATCGGCGCGGAAATTGCAATTCTGAAAAAGGAAATACGAAACCAAATCAAGGGGATCAAGCGGGGAATAGTAAGAACGGGAAAGGAAGGAATATCCACAGGGATATGGATACCTCGGCAGGGAAAGATGGGGGAAATAAGGAAGAAAGAGGGCTGCTCGGCCTCATCCCTCAGGCTAAGCCCATCCTCACGAGAGGGCCCAACAAAGAGCCAGCCCAGAACCGGAAACATGAAAGGAGTAATGTGGGGGTTCAAGAGAAGCCCAGCTCTAGTCTTAGCCCACCCCCCCCCCCCCTCGGCCCAGACAAACGGACACCCTCTCGCCGGCCCGCCGCGTACGCACATAATCGATGGCCCAAATGCGAATTCCATTCAGATTGTGGAGATTCCTCAATACGATATGCAGATGATGGCCACAAAAACCACTGATGCCCCATTGGCGGCTACCAGGATGAAGAACAAAAACTCTCAGAAGAAGAACAAGTCCAAGTCACCGCGTAAAGCTCAGGGGTTGATCACTACGAAGGCTCTGCAGATTTGGAGTCCAGTCAAAGAAAAGTGAAACAAGTCGAGGGCGCAATTGGCTTTACTCACGATCTAGGAGATTGCTTCCTGGACGGGTGTGGCAAAGGAGAACCAATCGGCATAAGCAACCCCTCAAGTGACAGAAGGCAAATTGCGGTCGAGGTGCAGGCCACGCCAGGACCACCAGAAAAAAAATAACCCTTCTCCCTTTCGCGCTCCTTTTGCGTTTTCGTTTCTCTTCATCTTGCTTTTTCTATGTCTATGAATCCCTTAGTCAATTTTAAAATTATGTCCTGAAATGTAGGAGGTGCTGGTAACACTGCCTTCTCCAGAGCTCTTCAGCTCATTTTTAGTAGTCACAAGCCTGACATTTTAATTCTTTTGGAACCACAGATCATCGGGGATGTGGCGGATAGAGTTTGTGGGCGACTGGGATTCCCTAATATCCTATGAGTGGAAGCTGATGGAAGAAAGGGTGGGATTTGGTTGTGCTAGGATGTTGGCTCTCTCTCGGTGGAGGTAATGTCAGCATGTTTCCCACACCTTACGGTGTAGGTGTCCACTCCGAAGTCGCTCGTCTGGATGCTAACGGCCATTTATGCTAGCCCAAAGCAAAGCTTACAACGATTCATTTGGCATGCCATCTTTAGAACCAGTAAAGAGGCATAGTTGCATTGGCTTCTAACGAGTGACTTTAACGCTATCAAATCACCCTCGGAGCAACCAGGACAAGCTACTGCCTCTACCTACAGACGCTGACAAACATTTCAATGATCGAATCAATCAGGCTGGTCTCATTGATCTAGGGTACTCCGGCCCTCGTTTTACTTGGACGAGAGGAGAACATCCTAATTCACATAAAGCTAGTCGGATCGATAGAAGCCTTTGCAATTCAGCCTGGAACACTTTCTTTCCCAGCAACTCCGTTAGTCATTTACCGCGCCTCAACTCCGATCACCATCCAGTTTTGACGACAATGGGAAATTAGGGAGTTAACATTTCTAGCTCTCGTCCTTTTCGGTTTGAGGGTGCTTGGTTTACTCATGAAACTTTTGATGCTTTTTTGGCCAACAGCTAGGATCCTCAAGCTCCGTTACCCAAAGCTCTTCAGGATGTGGCCAAGAAACTTACCCTTTTGAATCAGTCCACTTTTGGTAATATTTATCAGAAGAAGAAGAGACTTCTTAGTCGGATCCAGGGAATTCAGACAAAGGTGGCGCACAGCTTCTCTCCGAGACTTTTTAAGCTCCATAAAAAACTCGACAAGGAGCTGGAAGAAGTTATTGAGAAGGAAGAAATCATGTGGCACCAGTGCTCGAGAGAGCAGTGGGTTCAATTCGGAGAGAGGAACACAGCGTACTTCCAACAGCAAGCCAAGATTCGAAGAAAGAGAAATAAGATTGAAACCTTGAAAGGCAACAATGGAGATTGGGTGACTGATCCCCAAGAACTGGCAGCTTTAGTTTTTTATTTTTTCTCTGTGCTTTACCTGCAGGAATTCCTGGATTACACTTATAACATGCCCAAGCAAGCGCTTCCGAGATTGGGCAAACTGACCTCCTGCTTCTACTCTACCCCTTCCCAGGAGAGGATATTTATAGGTCCATCTAGGATATAAAACCTTTCCAAGCGCCGGGGAACGATGATTTCCATGCTATCTTCTATCAAAAAGTTTGGAATCTTGTTGGGAAAGCTCTCATTGATATGGCTGTTAATTTTTCCTCTACAGGGATGCTTCCAGATAAAGTGGTAGAATCGACAGTGGTTCTTATCCCAAAATTGGAGCACCCGGAGATGGTTAATCAGCTACACCCGATCTCCCTCAACAATGTGTGCCTCAAAGTGGTCATAAAAGCCATTACCAATCGCTTGAAGCCGATTATGAGGAAGCTGGTGTCTCCCCGTCAAAGGAGCTTCATCCTATGGAGGCAGACTACTGACAATATAATTGTTTTGCAGGAAGAGCTTCATACTCTCAGGAGAAAAAAAGCAGGAAAGGAGGCATGGTGCTTAAGATAGACCTTGAGAAGCTTATGATAGACTTCGATGGGACTTTCTTCAGGACACGGTAAAAGAAATTGGCCACCCTATCTCTTGGATAAACTGCATCATGTTTTGTGTTGAGAATAATAGGATGCGCCTCCTTTTGAATGGCGAACTTTCAGCCCCAATTACCCCCACTCATGGCGTTCGTCAAGGATACCCTCTCTCACCGTATCTTTTTGTTCTTTACATGGAAAGACTTTCTCATAGGATTGTTCAAGCTATCCAGGATAGACTTTGGAAACCCTTGAGACTGTCCAAGGATGGTCCCATGGTATCTTACCTATTTTTTTCGATGACCTATTCCTTTTTGCAGAGGCAGAGAGTGATCCGATACAGATTGTCAAACAGTGTCCTGATGAGTTCTGTCATAGCTCAGGCCAGAGAGTTAACTACAGCAAGTCATCGATGTTTGTGTCTGCAAATATAGAGAGACATATTGCCAGAAGACTCGCTCAACGAGCCGAAATTCCCCTTACGTCCGACCTCGGGCGGTATCTGGGAGAGATGGCGATTCACAACAGAGTTACCAAAGCAAGATATCAAGATCTCATGCTTCATATCCAGAGGAAACTTGCCCCTTGGAAGACTAAGCACCTATCTATAGCTTCCCGGATCACAGTGGTTAAGTCAATCTCAGCCTCTATCCCCATCTATCCTATGCAGACAGAATTGCTTCCTATGAGTGTGTGCTGGTCTCTTGGTAGGATTAACAGAAGCTTCATATGGGGAGATATTGAGGACAAGAAGAAACTTTACCTTGTGGGCTGGCCTCAGCTGCTGAAGCCAAAGGATAATGGTGGACTTGGCATCTGATCAATGAGACAAGTGAATCTCGCAATGCTAGCCAAAGGAGGATGGCGCATCATCAAGGAGAGAGAAGCCTTGTGGGTCCAGTTGATGGAGTCGAAATATGGGAAAGGCCTCAAAAACACTAAACTTCTAAAACATGTTCAAGGAAGTTCCTATACGTGGTCTAGTTTCATGAAAGCGTCTCACTTACTCAAAGAAGGGTGCACTTGGAACATTCATAAATGAAATCGCGCTAAATTTTGGTCTGATATCTTGATGACACAGGTACCCCTCTAAGAGTTGGCAATGGGTAAGATTCCACAGGAAGATCGAAATCGCACTATTTCGATGAAGAAGGGAAATGAAAGACGGAGAAGTTCGGCACTCTACTCCCCTTGGAGACCCAACGACATATTACAACTCATGCGGTGGATCCACTTGCGACGAAAGATGATACCCTGTTTTAGACCCTAAATGCAGATGGGAGGTTCTCGATGAAAAGTGTGTATCTTATGCAGCAACAGCCGCTACCCAACAACGAGAAGAAGTGGTGGAAGATGATATGGCAGCTCACCATTCCAGAGCGGATTCGTTGTTTTGCGTGGCTGCTAGCTCAGGGACGGATAAGCTCAAATGAGCTAAGGGTTCAACGTCATCTTACTCAAGATACCTCTTGCTACAGGTGTGCAAACCATACGGAAACTCTGTGACACACCCCAACCCGGTCGGGTACTTCTTTTCCTAAAATGCCCTTGATAAATAAAATGCTCAAATCTTAAATTGCAGCGGGAAAAATTTTCACTAATAAAATACTGAAAACACACACTTGTAGTTCAGAGCAAAGCCCTAACACGGGGGCAACTTAACTCAAACTTAAAAAAAAAAACTCAACTTGATCTCCAGTCTATACTCATAATCATAAAACATAATAACTAATTAGTCTCACGTGCTGCTGCTTGTGTGAAACTCTGACTAGACATCCTTTGTGACGCTTGTAGCGTCCTCCTCTAGCTAGCTTCCCTCGAACTGTTTCTTTCGATCTCGCTGCTCTCTAACTGCCCCTCTAGCTGTAATTATCGATCTAGTTCTCGCTTATTCCTTTACGAAGTCCTGGTGAGTGAGGTGGGGTCAGTCTTCGTCCTTATGTTTTTAATACTTCTAATACTTGAGTACTTTACTTAAACACTTAACTGGTGGAAGTTGTTGTACTTCCAATCTTAAAATCTTAACTCTTAAACTTTGAGGGAGTTGAAGTTACTCTCCTCTTTTTAAAGCTCAAATCTTGACTTAAATACTTGACTGACACGGGGATCCCTCACTAGCTAGTCCGGTTGCCAACTCATACGTACGAGAAGCCATCTAGTCTTTCCTTAAACTTAAACTTATTTAGGGAAGTCGTAACGATTCATCCCCCTAACATCTTAAACTTATCGTGGTGGCTCTTCACCACGATTCTCAAGGGCATAACTGATGCCCATCTTAAAAGTCTCAAGAGCATAACTGCTGCTCTATCTCAAAATGTCTCAACAGGCAACAGACTGGCGCTAGTGACTAAAAACACTTAAAACAACTTCACCTTGAAGGTGAGTTACTTCTTTAAAAAGAACTTGTTTTTTAAACTTTAACAATACTTATAAACGTAAAGCTCTAAATTAAATAATAACTCATGCACATTCACATCAAACATAGCTCAAACAAAATCACA